CTTAAAGGTATCTGATGATATTTATTTTCATTTCCAAAATTATGTAAATTGCAAGATATTTTGCTAAAACTATTTATTTCTTTTTGTTGCTTTCAAATTTTTCAAATTTTTCTTTCTAACTCAGAATCTTAAGGTACTAAATTTTCAAATCTTAAACCACGCATAAACAAATACAATATGTAATTAAAATAAGCAAACACACTAAAATATGAAAATATTCAAATTAAACTACAATAAGATTTTGAGTTCAAATAAAATATTTTAAATTATGTAGTAATTTATCGTTATTTTTATTACTTCCCCGACAATGGCACCAAAAACTTGATGCAGGAGTTTATTGTGTGTAGCTTCTGTAAATATTTTTTCAATATTATAAAACAAACACGACAACACTAATAATAAATTTGCAAGTCAATCCCAATAAAAATAACTTTAGAAAAAAAATTTTATCTTTTAAAATTTTTAAACTACCAAACCCGTAATAATAACACAAGTATACGTATCGATCAAGTAATAAATGGCTCGAATGGAGTCCTAAGTATCAATCCCACAGGGAAGTTGGGAATTCTAATAAATATAATATAAAACACAAAATTCAAATTACAAAACTTAAGTACAAAATTCAAATCTAAAGTAATTGAGTGTATGCTAAATAAAATACAGTGAAAAGAACTAAGTTATCTAAACTAATCACTAAACTTCAAAAATAAACTTATAAAAACTAAACAAAGTTTCTGTGAAGAAGAGTTTAAATTTAAGAAAGCATCCTTCCCCTTTATAATGAGTATAGAGATTGGGGGTTCAAAGAAAGAAAAAACAGTTGCAGACTTTTTGATTCAATAGAAGAATCATTAGTCCTCCCAAAAAAAAAAGCTACACTAACAACAAAAAGTTTGCCAAGACATAGACCCCAGCTAGCATGGAGTGCAAAAACTGAAGATAGAGAGCGGGAAAGGAAATCCATAGTAGGCAGTAAAAAGTCACTTTAGATCTTGGTTAACAATTCTGAAATATGGGACCTTGATCCTGTCACCCTGCAGTAAAAACTGAAGGGTATGGGGGAGGGGAGACAACAACAGATAACTCTTTTAAATTGTAACCTTGTCTGGTAAGCCAATTTGCTGGCCGGTTGCCCTCTCTATAGATAAAAGTATATTATGCTTTTAATTGTGAGGAAATTTCTCTATTCTTTTTTGTCCAATAAGTTAGGTGCCAGGGTGTAAGCTCCTCATCCCTCAGTATCTTGATTACAGCAGCAGAATCCACTTCTAACCATAAGTTGTACCAGCTAGACATTTTGGCAATTTTAAAAGCTCAATAGACAACCACTAATTCAATATTCTCAAGCTTAAGGGATTGATAGGACCTTCCTGGTGTCATCTGTGTTACAAAGCTGAAGAGTCAATTACCCATCTCTTCTTTCAATGTATGTTTACAAAAAGGGTCTGGTCAGAATTTGTTTGTTCAGAATTGGTTCAAGATCTAAAGATAAATCTCTTAAATCAGGATTGGGTTTCCCTTTTTGATTGCTAGAATACTTTGGACAAAGTCAATTTGAGCACCATCCCTTTTGTGGTAACTTGGTTTATTTGGATGGCCATAAATAAAGCCAAATTTGAGGAATGCACTCCAAATGCACATCTAACTGTGTTACATTGTAAAACATTCTTAACAAAGCTGATCAAACTTAAGGGATTCCCTGAAATTTTCTATAACACCAGTCCTTCTACACAAAAAATAGTTAAGATATCCAAAGTCTTCTGGATTAAACCTACTCACCAGTGGATCAAAGCTAACATAGATGGGAGCTATAATGGGCAAGGTGCTGGTTTCGGAGGGATCTTCAGGGACTACACAAGCACCTACAAATTTTTTTTCTACAGCCTTATGAATGCCTAAGATGCACTTGAAATTGAAACAGCTGCACTTTTGTGGGCACTACATACTGCTATTCAGATGAAATGGTTTTATTTAATGGTTGAAACTAATTGTTCCTTACTTATCCAGCTGATTGAAGGATCCTTATCTCCTCTCTAGCACATACTCAAATTGCTCAAACCCATCCAAGAATTTAAAAAACTGTGCCAACTTCAGCTCAAGTTCAATTACAGAGAAGGCAACAAACCAGCTAACTGGCTATAGCTAACTGGCTAGCAAGAGTTGCTAGTCAGTCAGATGCCACTTTAGTCTCCACTACTCTGTCCTATCCTTTTTGTTAAAGGGTGACCTCTTACAAGTTTCCTATATCAGATCTATACTGTGTTCCTCTTCTGCAATATAATTTACCCTTCCTTTAATATATATATATATATATATGAGTTGGAAGCTGAAATGATTGTTATCTTCTTGGCCCTTCACATTGCTAGATTTTGCAAGTTTGATAAGTTAATTGTGGATTCAGATTCTCAAGTTATCATCAAAATTCTGCAACAATTGGAGAGACTTCCTTGACATATCACTAAATGGCTGCATAAATTCATTTCTTTTACTTAATCCTCTCAAGTTCTTTTTACTCATACCCCTAGATAAGGAAATAGGTCTGCCTTGTCATTGGTAGCCTTGGGAAAAAATTTCACAAAAGCCTCTTGTTAAGATTCCCCCACCATCATCTTTTTTGCTACATGGGGACTATATTCCACTTCCACATCTTAGAGTCATGTCACTTTTTCTTTTCTACTATCTATCAAATTATCTCACCCAATTATATATAGAGTGCCTTACTCAATATCTATCAAATTATCTCACCCAATTATATATAGAGTGCCTTACTCAATATCTATCAAATTATCTCACCCAATTATATATAGGGGGCCTTACTCGATATATAATTTGGGTATATATATATGCGCTGCGTACTCAGATCAGTTGATCGGCTATGTGCTTGTTGGTTGTAAGTCCCCACTGGTCTAGGGTTCGACTGTCCCCGAGCGTAGGGTGTGGTACTCAAATTCTTAGGCACATTTGGGATAGTTGGGGCTCGTATAATAGCCTCTGACCATTCTTTCTGAATGTATATATATATATATATATATATATA